ACATTTTAGTTGCCCTATTCCACACTGTTTGCACTCTGCAGTACCTTTGTTAAGGTGCGGTGACCACAAATGTACTCCAACTGTGGTTCAGTTTTATTTTCCAGTCCAACAACATCTGGAAGGTTACAGATTCTCTACCCTTCCCTTAAGCATAAATGTAGGTATGATGAACACGTATAGAAAGGAGTGGGATTGTAGGTAGCATGTGTTCTTCTGTGCCCTCCATGTGTTCAACATATGCATATAGGGTCCAGTTTCTGCAATGCAAGACCCTTCATTTTCCAGTTCTTGGATCACACTTTCCAGAGTTAATGGGCCCAGACGTGCATTCATAGTCTGGGGCATACTAATACTGAGAGCCAAATGTCTTTTTTGTTTTGTTTTGTTTAAATGTGTACAAGATTGCACTTTATGGGCTTTTAACAAGTCTTCCTGAATTAAGATGTGGTAGAGATGATCTAAAACAAGGGCTGGCAACTTGTAGCCCCCCAGACTTTTTGGCCTACAGCTCCCATAGTCCAGTGTGTTGGATTCACTGACCAGGGCTGATGGGAGTTACAGGCAGAACAGCTTGACGGCCACGAATTACTTACCCTTGCTTGCAAAGACAAACGATGCCGTATAAACTACAACAATAGCTTGGCAGCATAGTAACGTTACCAGCTGGATGGCAATAGATCCTCTGCGCGAAGCACATGCTTCCCAGTCTAGGAAACCCAGGTGCTGGAATATCTTGAAATCCAGAGAGCACAGTTTACTAGGAGCTTCTGTTTCTAAAGCAACTGCACGATAATTCTCAACGACTTTTCTTAGAAACTGCAACATTGTGGAATAAAAGTAGTACAATTATTGAGAGGATCACAGGCTTAGGAGTATGTTGAGATCCATTAATCTTCTTGTTAACTTATCCAAGGGATATACCCGCTAAGTATTGTGAATTAATTTCATACATGGTTACTGCTGCAAGCGTATGCTATGCGAAAAATTAGATAATATTGGCCATCCTAATGCTAACGGAATGCAAGAACAAATGATAGGATTATGCTATTATGTCAAAACTGACCAGTTACATTAGAGTGGGAGAAAGAAGACAGATATAATAATTTTGTTTCAGGATTGGGCTTCCTTTATTAATTATTGGTATAGAAGTCTTACAGTTCAACAGATAGGAGGCTTAACATTTAATTTACTGGAATAGTATTAATATAAATGCATGTGGAACTTATACAAATTATATAGTTTTCCTTCATATTAAAATAATCTGTCTGCCTTTTTTCTTTCTTTGAAGAAGAAAAAACACTCCTGGATCCCAAGATTATTCACTCACTCCTGTTTTGCACAAACCTGTATCTGGCTTTATCTCTTACCAGCTTCGTTTCAAGTCAGAGCCAGATCTGACTATATGCTTACATAGATGAAAAAGAGTTCTGTACTTCTATTGTTTTGGATTAGGCTTCAAGTTTTGTAGAGGCTTTGCATTTCCGGTGATCAGAATCATCATCATGGGAAAAAGGACATGTGCATCTTTCATCCTCTGGTGCTGAAGGGGGAAAGTTACCTTCCAAATGAAACCACACACTCAGCAACCCACACACCCACATATACACACCTCTGCCCGCCTACCTACTTACCTACCCTACTGCTTTACCTCATTTTGTTCTGAAATTTGTTCAGAATTTCTATGCCCACGGAGAGATTGCAATTCTCTCTGTACTTCCTCTATGTATTGACTGGAATAACTTAAGAATAGTTATGGACCCTTAAAGTTACTCCCAATAAAAATTCAAGATCCTGTATTTTAAAAACTATCATTATGGGATTTATATGGCCACTCATAAGCTTATGTTGCTTGGACAGCTAATAAAACAGGAAATAAATGCAATATTAAAATACAAGAAAATAATAAAAACAATACTTAACATGCTAAAATATAGCATTAAAAACTCAGCTTACAAAATACAGCTTTGACAGGGGGAGTCCAAATTTTCAAAAAATGCGGTTTATTTAAAAGGACTTCACCCTGTGGCAGAAAGACCGTAAAGGTGATGCTGGCGAGTTTTGCTCTAGGTGGTTCAGGCTGCAGCCCTTCATACACTTGCCTGGCAGGGAGCCTCATTGCAAAGATCTGCAGGGCCCCAGGACCTTTACATTTCTGATGCAAAAGTGATGCAAAGGTTTTTTCAAAATTGATTTTATTGATTTTTCAAATACTAAAACAAATCATACAAACAAACAAGAAAAAAGAACATTTCCACAAGCTTAAATCCAGGGTTCTATGTTTAATCTGTCCTTCTGCCCACTACTTTATAGGTAAAAATATGGATGGAAACTTTTGGCTGTTTAAAGATTTTCTTTATGATTCTTCATAATTGCAAGTTATATTTAATCTCTTTTCCATAATATGAAAGAGGTCTTAGATGTATGTTGCTGGATATGTCCCTGATTTATATATGAAATAAAACCATTCTGTATTGGATAAAAATCAGATATTTTAAGTTAATTTAAGTAGATACATCAATTTTTCTGTCACCTGGGCTATTTGCCACTGCTCTATGAACCAAGACTTCAACCATTTTAAGTTCTGCAATTTTCCAGCTTTTAACTATTATCCTAAAGCCACTTTCAGTTGGTGGAAAGTGCTATTACATATAAAATTAATAAACATGTAGAAGGACAAGCCCTGTTGAAAAAAATCAACATGGCTCAAGAAAAAGGAAATCCTTCTCCCTTTGAGAATTCTTTGATAGCGAGCATTTTTCCTTTACTTCCAAAAGTGTTTTAACAGCAAAGATCCCTGAGCAAATTTAACAGTCAGAGAATAAGAAAAAAGGTAATCTTATGGATCAGTAACTGTTTAAAAGAAGCAGACAATATATTATCCCAGTGAAGTGATGTAAAGAGTGGAGTCCCACAGGGGTCTTTATTAAGACCAATGCTTTTCAACTAGTGCAAAAATGATCTGGAATTTGGAGTAAGCAGTGAGCTGGCAAACACCTAATTATTTAGAGTAGAATCTTGTGGGATTAGCCATAACCCTCTGCACTTGGAGAGTTATGGCTGTCCTTTGCAGGCCAGAAGAAGTGTGGAAGCAAAGGGTATCTCTGTGTTTCTCTTGCCCTGGAAAGTAGCTGGATGGCCAATAGGCCAACTAACTTCGGCCCTTCAGGGAGGGAGGCTGAGGTGCTGTTGCCAGGATGCCTTGCATCTTGCTGGTACCAGTCTTTCCAGTACCCAGTCCCTGGAATGACCCCCCTCCCATGCCCCTTCTACAAGGTTGCTTTGGGATCTTAGGGAAGCTGCCAGCACATTCTTTTTCCTACTGGCCATTAAAGGGAAAGGGTGCTCCAAGCGTGGAGTCCCAGCTCCAACATTGGAGCTGTTTTCTATTGTCAGGGCCAAAAAAAATTGTATGCCCCCCCCCCCAGATGCTGTCTAGGAACCTTAAGATTTGCTGTTCGGGTGACTTAAAGGGCGGGGGGGGGCTATAAGGAACTTCTGAAGAATCTCTCCAGACACAGCAAGTGAGGATCAAAAAATTAAATGAGGTTGCATGGAGGCAAGGGAGAAGTGATACATGCTGGTGCAAGAAATCCCAAGTGATGGGGACCGAACTAGCAGTGTTTGACCATGAAAGAGATCTTGGGTTGTGGCAGACAGTTTAAAAAAAGTCAATCCAGTCTGTGGCTGATGTGAAAAAGAAATTCCATGGTAGGCATAATTAGGAAGGGTCATACTGTCCTTATAGAAATCTGTGTTGCAGTCACACTAGGAATACTTAATGTAGTTGTTGTTATTAAGCCTAAGAAGGGTTTTGTAGAATTGGAAATAGGACAGAAAAGAGCAACTGAAATGATCGACGGACTGAAGAAACTCTATGGGGAAAGATTAGCTTAACTTAGAGAAAAAACGAGGCAGGGGAAGACATGACACAGGTGTACAAATTATGCAAGGTGTGGAGAAAGTGGATAAGGAAACAAACTTTCTCCTTGGAGCCCTGGGTTGTTCCAGATGATTGGCAACCGTGGCAACAGAATGTTGGGCTACATGGACCTTTGGTCTGATGGAACACAGCTGTTTTTTATCTTATGTACTCAGGAGTAAGTAAGAGTGTTCCACACATCTGCACTAGATATGCTTAGAAGACATTTAATCTGGCCCTTATTTACTCTGAATCCAACGCAAGAAATGTATAAAAGTTTTTATATCATGTATATCATGGATGCTAAATGGATGATTGATGTTAAAGGCATCCTGCTCTTTTTCAGGTTTCTTCTACCTGTAAATCATCAAAGGGGAAAAGCTTGAATCTGATCTGCAGGTTTAAGAATGCACAGGCTGAAATGGCATGGGTAGAAAGAGAGAGAGATAGGGCTTGGGAATTTTAATGAGTAGATTAATTGCAGTGTCAGTCACCCGACCCAAACACAACCTGGGTAATGATTCAAAACAGGTATCAAAAGCTATGTGATGCAGTTGTAAAGTATGTTAAATGATGCAATGTTTTCTTTTCACTGTGGAATTACTAAGCATTTTTCAGAATAGAAAATGACAAACTAGGTGCCAGATTCATCAGATTACTTGAAAGATTGCCTTCTCTTGTATATAGCTAAACAAACTTTAAGATCCACATCACAGGTCCTGCTCCATGCATTCCTACCAGTGCAGTGAAGCAATCTTGGAGCCCAAGCTTATTCAGTTCAGTGGTGGGGAGGTGTTAGAGAGGGAGCTTTGAGATATTCTAGCCCTTCTAGGCCCATTAGGGTGGCAAAGGTTAACATTTGTGTGAGAAAGAAGCAGATAACCTGTGAAAGAGGTATAGCCACAGTTGCTGGCCTTTGCTGTAACATGACAGAAGTATTTTGGCCTGCCTGCCTTCCTTCCTTCCTTCCTTCCTTCCTTCCTTCCTTCCTTCCTGAAAAGGGAAAGTATCTGTATTAGTAAACTTCTTTTTCGTAGTATTGTTATGGGTGGAGTTCTATTTTTTATTTTCTTTCTTTAAGGGAAAAGGAGCATAGTGTACTTTCTTAAGAAGCACCTGGAAGACAAGTGCCCTTGAGTCAGTTGGATGATGTGGAGGAAGAAGCTGCATACGGGGAAGCAAGTGTGCCTTGGTTCACAAACACTTGTGCCATAATAAATCACGTTGGTCTTCAAGGTGCCACAAGATCTTTCTGCAATGGTTTTAGCTGCAATGAAATAACGCATCTGCCTTTCTGCAAATGAGTGAGTATGTAATCATGCCAAGCAAGTGTATAACAAGGAGGCTGAGACCTGGGAGTTGGGGTGGGTGTTTCAACCTTCCCAGCCACAAGATCAGATCAAAGGGGCATTATTATGTAGGGCTGTATATGTCCAGCCCCTGCTGCACAGGCAATAAATCACAGCTGGCAACAGCTCAGGTGCTCCTGTTTGGTTGTTCATTTCATGAAAGCTACAGCTGGAGGCTAGGGGTTGCCTCTCTGCTCGTTCCTTTCCTGTTGATTGCATTATCCCATTTAATATTATTGTTCTCGTGCAAATTTCAAGGGTTCCCCTAATGAATTGCAATTAGTTTCCCATGCCATTAAGAAAAAAGGAGAGTTAGGCTATCTTTCTCTTATCATTTTTAATTATTAATCATCACGGTGATTACTGTTGCCTCTGTTTCTTGGATAAATATTCAAAGCAGCCTAAAAGCAAGCAGCCAAAATGATGAGCATTGCGCATGAAGAATGCACTCCACAAATGGCTGAGTTGCTCCGATGAGTTCACTCCCTGCCCCTTTGGAGGCAGCTTCTTTCTTATATGTCATGTTGATATATGATAAGCTGCTCTGATATGGGCATCAAAATGAACATGTATGTTTCACATCATGAAGATGGAAACCATCTTCATGGGAAGAGGGAAAGACTGATGTACTAAGTGATTCAAATATACAACCTCCTTCATTCCCAGGGTCTGCTATTTACAATAAAAATATATTTAAAAAAGTTTCTCTAGTTAAATGCACATAATTCACATCAAAAATATGAAACTTTATCATTCCTTCTCTGATCCACCTTGTTCTAATTCATACTTTTTGTTCAGATTACATTTCTGTGCTGCCCTGTAGCCAAATTTCTATGGGAAGTTTACAAAGGTTAAAAGCTTAAAAATACAATATAAGAACCAGGTGCATGCAAACATATAGCAAAAAATATAACCTACAGAGAAACACAAATATATATAAGAACAATTTTGAACCATCACCAACCAAATAAAAATAATAATTCCAAGACCTGATTAAAATCTCATCAGCATATGCTACCAAATGTTTGAAAAAAGAATGTCTTAACCTGGTGCTGAACAGATGACAAAGTTAGCACCAGACAGGTCTCATTGGAGGGATTATTCCGTAACTGTGGGGCTACCACTGAGAAGTCCCTCTCCCTGGCTGCCACCTTCCAAGCCTCCCTTGGAAGAATCTCCTGGAAGATGGTCTTTGATGATATATGAAAGTACAATCATACCAGGAGAGGCACTCCACCAGGTTCTTGTGGTCCTGGGCCATGGAAGGCTTTATAAGTCAAAACCAGCACTGTGAAACAGGTTCAGAAATATACAGGCTGCCTGTGTAACTAGGTCAGTATTGGTGTTATATGTTCAGAACATCAAGTCCCTGTTGCCACTCTGGCCACTATGGGTTTTTTTGGGAAAAAACTGCCTTAGCTGCACCAGAGCTAGAAACACTGTAATGCTATTGATTTTCTAAGGAGCAGGAGTCTTTGATATGTTTGTTCATGGTATCCTTCTGCATCCACTGCCTGATTGGGGGCGGGGGCGGGGGGGGGCATTATTTTACATCAGTTCTATTCCTACTTGGTTGGCTATTTCCAGAAACTAGTGCTGCCAGATTATTTATTTATTTATTTAAGATATTTGTATGCCATCCTTTGCAAGACCGTCACGACAGCTTACACAAATAAAATACATTTACATAAAAGTATAACATAAATAAATGAAGGACCCACTCTGATTACTGCTCTGCTCTCTGGCAATTGCATCATGGGGCTCTGCAGGGGTTGATTCTATCCTCCATGCTATTAAACATATATGGAACTGCTGAGAGCAATTATTCCGGGATGTGTGGAGGTGTTTTCAATATGCAGATGGTATCCAGCTTTATCTCTCCTTTTCATCTAAGGAAACTGAGACAATGGATGTCTTGAATTGGTGCCTAAGCAGAATAATAGACCAGATGAAGCCTAAGAAAATGAAACTCAGTCCAGACAAGATGGAGGTGCCATTAGTGAATGCTTCATCTGCCCAGTGTAGTGGCATCTAATGCATTACAATGGGGGTTTCACTCCTCCTGAAGTATCAGGTATGCAATTAGGGGCTGCTTGTTGAGTCTCAGTTAACCTGGTGGCTAAGAAGGCTGGTGCAAACCCTTTCAGGACAGAGATAGCCTGGCAACAGTTATCCAGAATCTGGTAATTTCCCAGCAGAATCGCTGCAATGGTACACAAGCCACCTTTAGAACCAATTTAACAGTTTCAGTTAATCTAAAATGGTGCTCCTAGATTGTGCCAATATGATCAAGTGATGCCTATGTTTCATTGGCTACACTGGCTTCCAGGCACTGAGCTCAATTCAAAGTGTTGCAATTGACCTTTAAAGCCTAGACAGTTGTGGGCCAGTGTTTGGAAAGGAACATCTTCCATACATACTTAGCTGAACTTCAGAGGTCGTCCTCCAGGTACCCCTCAAAAAGGAAGTTAGGGGAGAGAACCTTCTCAGTTGTAGCACCCCATTTATGGAATGCTTTTACCAAGAAAGTGTGCCTGAGGAGGGCATTGATCCAAATTAGAAACACTTGCAGCTGCTTCTGAGAAAGGAGGTAGATGTTGGTCTTCCTCCTTGCCTAATTACTGGTCTCCTGTGTTTACCAGCCAAAATAACTATAAGGGCTGAAAAGTTCCATTTCTGGGGAATAATTTGCTTTTCCAGCAGGCACCAGCTTAGTGTTGCTTTCAGTATCTCTTGAAAGCATCTTTGTTCCAAAATGACCTCCTTGATGGACCAGCCTCAATTTTATTCATATTCCATTTAAATATAGTTTTTTATTCATGTTGTTTTCTGCTGATTGCTTACCAGTCCAGAATCTGTACAGATGTGGAACAGTAAGTATTGTAAAGACATAGATTGTCTTGTTTCCTTTGCTTCATACTAGGGTGGTGTTTCATACAGAGGATAACCTTGAAGGCATCCTGTGTCTGAAGGGCTTTCCAGGGACAGCACGAAGATAAACAATCAATTGAAAGAAGAGCTGAGTCTTGAAGTGCCCATCAAAGGCAGCTGAGCAATAGAATGAGCCAGGCGCACAGGTCACCTGGCCACTCTGTGGTGGCATTCCCTGCATGTCTATTTAAATAAAAATAATTATTTCTAAATTGCATCTATATAAGCATATATAATTATTATGCAAATTGGCCACCCCTTTTGTCCTTTTTTTGGTGATACATTCCTTCACTGGGGGTGATTCAACAGCAGCCACCCTAACTCATACCCTCAGTTCAGCTGCATCAGGGTGAAGAAAGAGCAGAGTTTTCCTTTTGCATTTCTCACTGTTCAGACTGGAAGAGGTGCTTCAGTCCCCAGATGGTTTGAGGAGGTCTCCAAGCTGGCACCTTCTGGAAGTCTTCGGCTATATCCTCTACATTGCTGTCAGGGGATGATAGGAGCTACAGCCCAGCATACCTGGAGGGTTCCAGGTTGTGTAAAGCTGGTCTGGAATGTGATCTGTGTGCGTTCTTTAGCATTCCATCTCCTCTGTATCACACTGCATGTGAAGTTCAATGTGTCACATTCAGAAGCTGATTCTTTCCTAAATTTAGTAGATGGCTGTGGTGTTGGTACTGGGGGAAAATCAATGGTTCTTTCACAAGATGTGAGATAGGGCAGTGTCATGCTTTCCTTCCTTGCTGCAGCCCTGAGGCAAAGCACCTGCCAGTAATAACCGCCCACCTCTGATGCATAGTTAATCAGTTTCCATAGAATGGTAGAGCTGGAAAGGGCCAGAGGGCCACTGGGTCCAACCTCTGCTCAGTGCAGGACTCCCAGTTGAACCATCCCTCTCAGATGGCTGTCCAAGTGCATCCAGAATGCCTCTACTCTGGGAGAACCACAGCATCTCCAGCCAGGTTCCAACACTGAAGGGAAGTCCAGTTCAAGGGAACAATAGTGTGTGGGGCTGTATGTGGGTCAGTGGAAGGGGGAGGCACCAGCCACAATTCCTACCCCCATGCAGTGTAGAAGAGGACACTTCTATCTCTCACACTCATTCTTTTGTGTCATGTTTGCCCCCACAATTCAGCTACCTTAGCAATACAGGATGTGTATTTGCCAGGACAGTATCTCATTTCAGTCTTAGAAAACACCTTGACTAGATCAGTGTGCAGAGTTTTCCGGAGGTGTCCCTTTCTCCTTGAGAGTTACATGATTAGGCAGAGTTATTTAATAGAGTCACATGAAAATGCCTTTAAGTGGGACAAGGTGACTGACCACATATCTTTGTGCCACCAGGGAACTTCTACAAGTGTGTTTAGGCCAGTTGCCACACAACAAACTTTATGAAGCTACTTTGATGGATGAAGCAGAAACTAAGGAAAGATTCGGAAGTTCTGAAGTTCCTGGTGGCTTTGCTTTGCATCAGAAAATGCAGTGTGTATTTTATGGGCGCCTGCACTGACTTATGTAAATAACATTCATCACCTTTGTTTGGAGGAAATAGAAGTGATTTTTCACATGCACTTGAGCACTGTCATTTTTTCAGCTGCTTCTGTGAATCAAGGCACACTTTACACTTTGAAAGTGTACTGCACAATCCAGCAAAAGGTCAGGACAGTTAAACATTAAGGAACAGTTAAACATTTAAGCTGGTCTGGAAGGCCTCTTTCGACCTAAGGGCTCTATTCCTTTTTGGAGAAGTTCTGGCTGGAGGCTGCATTCCAGTGTGGGGTGGAGCTGAAAGTCAAAGGGACGGAGCAAAAAGCAAACCCAACTAGCATGCTGTCCCTGAAAAGCTTTTGCTGCCAGTAATGAATGGCTTAAGAAAGGCACTGAAACCGACTAGAATGTGGGAGAGGAGAAAGTGCCCAAAAACTGGGAAACCACCCAAGGAGTGCTGGTTGGTGGGTCAGAGGAAGTGACAACGCCAGCCAGGAAACGCTGGAGGGCCAGTTTAGGACCTTGGAGGGCTGGGTTTGTCTTCTGGGCCCCAGGTTTCCCTCAGCTGCATTAAGGGGCTTCAGCATGCTTGGTTTGTCTTGTGCCTGGACTGTGGTATGGAGAGTACAGCTAGAAAGAAGCTGGGAGTTCTGCAGTCCTCTTCCTGCCCTGCATGGGAGTTGCAGTTCTGGGTACACAACTTTTCTGTCTATCACTGTTGACAGAAGACTGTACCTGATGCATTGGAGTGCTGCAGAGGAGACCTAAGGCCAGTGTGACATAGCGGTTAAAGCTTTGGACTTGGACTGGAGAGACCAGGTTCAAATCTCCCAGTCATGAAGCTCTCAGCCTGACATATATCACAAGGTCATTCTGAGGAGAACCATATGTGTTGTCTTCAACTTCCTAGAAGAGATGCTGGATAGGAAAATATAAACTATCTTTTCATATGCTCAATTTGCCAGTGTACCATAAAACTTTCTTTTTTTAAAAAAAGGGATCAATTATTAAAATGAAATTTAACAACCACAAAACATTGTATACATTTTTAAAAAAGATCAGTTTGCATTTGCTTTTGTTTCTAAAATAATTGAAATGAAATTATTTGATGCCATGAATAAATGCCAGTAATGTTTTTGAAAGTCCAGTCCTATCCCCAAAAGAACTCAAAATATTTTCTTCCCTGCAACCACCCTTAACTTTGCAAAGTGAAAGATTTCTGCAAGTTTTTGGCAAATATCCATATCTGATGATTCTTGACTGGTGTAACATTAAAGAGAAAACTCAAATATAGGTATAGCAACTTGTATCAAATTTGTGGTTGAGTTCTTTTACACTCCATACAGTAAACTGTGAGTAAACTGTGAATATGCGCGCCTTTGAATTCCTGACAAACAAAGCCATCTGGTTATCTTGATCAAGGCACCGTATTATGGGCAGATCCTTTGACTAAGTATTAAACATACTGTACTGAGGCATTATTTATGACTTGGACCACTACTACATCACTCTATTATCCATACTTATAGAAAAAGACCCACTGTAAGTATAATTAGTTAATAAATCACCATGAGTGATAAACAGAATGATGGATGCAGGTTTCAGCTGATCACTTTTTTATTAAGGAGAGATAAATCAGCATCATATTGTTGCCGTAAACCTCTCAGATTGGTCAAAAAATCCAGCATGCCAAAATGCAGCAAGGGAGGGTGATTAACGTGTCAATTGCACAGCAACAAATTGTTCCCGATAATTGATATCAATCAATCCTTTTAATTTCGCCTCCGTCTAATGGGTGTCGTACGTCATACCTTCTGCCTTCATCTGCAGCCAGCAGCTTTTGTTTTGGCCTTTCTGGGTACTGTCGGAAAGTACACTTTACACAGAGCCCCGGCTGGCCTTGGGTTTGATTCAGGATGCCGCTATGCGCCACACTGGGGTGCAACGGTGATTGATTGTCTAGTGAAGTTCACCGCAGAGTAGAAGTCGCAGGGCTGCATCTGTCAGTCAGGGGGCCCAATTCCTTTTTGGAAAAGCTCTCAGGCTAAAAGCCTTCTGTGCTGGGTGGAGCCCAAAATGCCAGACGAACGAGCATATTTTAGCTTAAAGATTTTACTGCTAGTAAAGTGAGTCCTATATTCTTGGTAGAAAGATGGGGCATTAAGAAATAAGGCTTAGGAGAACATTTCAACATTTTGTTAGGGGAAAGGATTGCAGAACAAAATGGAAACCACTAAATGATCTGGAGAACAGGAGTGAGGTAAGGAAAAGTGGAACCCCGAAGAGCTAGATTGGGACCAGGATAGCCAGAGTAGCAGGTTCTGCATCCCTGGAGGGCAAATTTGTCCACCTGTCTATCACTCTGTTGACCTTTTGTGGCCCTTTTGTTGTGGCCTCTGCTATTAACATGCCTCACAAGGAGGCTGTGGCTGGCACCTTGCAAGGGTGGGCGGGCCTCATTTAGCCGCATCTGCTTTATTTTGATTAAAAACGTTTCTGTCATGTTTTCTCCTCCACATGAAGCATGTAAAATGGCTCAAGGCAAGATTGATAAAATAATTTTTTAAAACACAGCAAAATCAATTAACCCCCACCATCACATTAACAGTGTCAGTCTAAGTATGTCTTACTGGGATGTAACCTACCAGAATTCAGTGGAACTTAAAGAATAGGAAATTGCACAGGATTGCAGCCTAAGAAAGAGAAGCCAGTGACTTAATAAATAGGTAAAGGATTGTGGCAGTAATTTGTATGTGTGTGTATGTGTGGAGAGGGGGATTGATTGATTGTACAAGTGCATACAGTTTAGGATTCTTCTCCCACGTTCTTTGCTGGTTTCTTTGATGTAACTTCTGCACCTTTGGTGTAGCTCCAGACCATCCTATGCCTTTCTGAGTATAGCGTATGGAAAAGGAAAACTGCTATATTTCTGCCTGCTATGTGGTTATTAAGGATATTGGAGACGGGCTAGGTAGGAAAGCAAAGGCCATTACTATGGGCCATTACTATGGAACTGGCAAAGAGAAGTGAAGGCAAGGCATGTGTGATTGACGTAGAACTGGAACAGATACGATGCTCCTGCCAAAGCAGCATGCCCTGTCTCACCCACCTCCAGGCCCATTGCCCAGCAGTGGGGGACAATGCATGCATGACATGTTCATGAGTGCCCTTCTGCCACCTGTTGGCAATAATAGATCACTGCAGAACCCACTTTCATGTAGTGTTTTGAGTTTGGAGCTTTGATCTTGACTCTCCATTTGGAACTCTCCATCAATGTTAATACTTGGCTCTAGGCTTAGAACCCCTTCATGGATCACTGCCTTGTCGTGGCGAAGGGGCTCGGGTAGCTCAATGAAGCGGTGAGCTATGCCGTGCAGGGCCACCCAAGATGGACGGGTCATGGCAGAGAGCTCTGACAGAACGTGATCCACTGGAGAAGGAAATGGCAACCCACTCCAGTATCTTTGCCATGAAAACCCCATGGACAGTACCAAAGGACAAAAAGATATGACGCCGGAAGATGGGCCCCTCAGGTCGGGAGGTGTCCAATATGCGACTGGGGAAGAGCGGAGGGCTAGTACTAGTAGCTCCAGAAAGAATGAAGCGACTGGGTCAAAGCCGAAAGGACACTCAGTTGCAGATGTATCTGGTGGTGAAAGGAGAGTCCGATGCTGTAAAGATCTATATTCCATAGGAACCTGGAATGTAAGATCTATGAATCAAGGCAAGCTGGATGTGGTCAAACAAGAGATGACAAGTCTGAACATCGACATCTTAGGAATCAGTGGACTAAAATGGACAGGAATGGATGAATTTAATTCAGATGGCCAGCAAGTATACTACTGCAGGCAAGAATCCCTCAGAAGAAATGGAGTAGCCTTCATTTAATTATTTAATTATTTAAAATATTTTTATGCCATGCCCATCGCAACAAAGCCTCGGGGCAGCTCACCAAACCCCCCCCCCAAAAAACCAAATATAACAATTATACAACAAAAATATTAAAACCTGGTGCATCTCGGTTTAAAAGATTTAAAATCCTATAAATACCAATAAATTAACAATTAAAATAAGTTTTAAATAAAAATGTCTTAGCCTGGTGCCGAAAAACAAATAACGACGGCGCCAGGCAGACCTCTCTGGGGAGCACATTCCATAGATGGGGCGTCACCGCAGAGAAAGCCCTCCTCCGGGTATTCACCCTCCTAATATCATTCAAGGAGGGTTCCCGGAGAAGGGCATCTGTTGTTGATCATAGTCAATAAAAGAGTAGGAAAAGCAGTACTGGGATACAAACTCCAAAATGACAGAATGATCTCAGTTCAAATCCAAGGCAAACCATTCAACATACCAATACTCCAAGTCTATGCCCCAACCACTGGTGCTGAAGAGGCTGAAGTTGACCAGTTCTATGAAGGCCTATAGCACCTTCTAGAATTAACTCCAAAAAATGATGTCCTTATCATCATGGGGGATTGGAATGCTAAAGTCGGAAGCCAAAAGATAACCGGAGTAACAGGCAAGTTTGGCCTTGGAGTACAAAATGAAGCAGGGCACAGGCTGGTAGAATATTGTCAAGAGAATACGATGGTCATAGCAAACACTCTTTTCCAACAACCAAAAGACGACTCTACACATGGATATCACCAGACGGTCAACACAGAAATCAGATTGACTATGTGTTCTGCAGCCAAAGATGGAGAAGCTCTATACAGTCAGTAAAAGCTAGACTAGGAGCTGACTGTGTCTCAGATCATGAGCTTCTGGTTGCAAAATTTAGGCTTAAATTGAAGAAAGTAGGGAAAAGCACTAGGCCACTCAGGTATGATGTAAATCATATTCCTGATCAATATATAGTAGAGGTGACAAATAGATTTAAGGAATTAGATCTGATAGACAGAGTGCCTGAAGAACTATGGACGGAGGTTCACAACATTGCACAAGAGGCAGCAACTAAAACCATCCCAAAGAAAAAGAAATGCAAGAAAGCAAAATGGCTGTCTGAGGAAGCTTTACAAATAGCTGAGGAAAGAAGGGAAGTGAAAGGCAAGGGAGAAAGGAAAAAATGAATGCAGAATTCCAG